AAATCCTAACTATGTGTAGCGACACCGGTAACGCTCCAGCTAGAAAAAGAATGGCTGTAATTACCAAAACGACTTGTTCTCGACCGTAGCCCGAGTGTAATTAACTATTCTACGATCGTTCTGTATAGCGTCAATGAGACCGTTGAGCAACGCGTAATAAAATGCAAACCCCGAAGTCAGAACAATGTTGATCCGCAATGCGTACGGTACTGTTTATTTCATTAAGCGAGTCAAAGAACAACGTATCTCAACAATGCGACTCAGTCGCTATACAGCCAAAAATGTGAGTTCAAACAAATGGTTAGAAACCTGATATAAAGACAAGGCAATAAATGTACAAAAGGGAACATAAATACCTGTTAGGTCAAGCAAGGGATTCTGTTCACTTAACGTGAACAGCCGTTCAAACAGATCGATAATGATCTGTTTGCCACGGGGAGAAATTCTGTTCACCAAACGTGAACAGGCAGTGATCCAAGTCAGGTATGCACTCGCAAAGAGCAAGACAACGAATAAGGCCATAGGGCCAGTGACGGAGCANGTGGAGGCCGCGCGTTTCAGATTTCTTTCTTGCCTTACATTCGCGAATATATGGTTCCCTCAAATTATGCAAGACTAGGTTTCGCGTCCTACCTAACATCATTTGAGTGGAATTTTTCATCATGGACAGTTGTCTTTCAAGGACTTCCATTCCCAAAATTAGGGCCTCAATTACTCCAGATTCTGTATCTTCATTCTTAGCAGCTTCTTCACCCTTCGTCTTCAACCTTATTTCCACCGACTCTGTCGGTTTAAGACTAATGCTCTGTTTACCCTTGTTCATTTTCGACCTATATGTGCTCTTTATCTGCATCTTAGGGTTTAACCCCTCAGCAACAACCATACCCTGTACCAGGTGTGAGCACTCGAGCACGAATGTCTCGCACCGGTCACACACCCACTTCAGATTCTTGTTCTGAAGGTGTATGAGGTACTTTCTCTTTGCTAAAAGTGAGCACTTTTGACGGTAGCACTCTTTGCACCTGTTGCACTGAATGCCATCCGCTACATACAAATTGCAACCCGTGCCGCCACAACGACTTTCGCTCTGTGCGGAACTCATTGATAAACGTTCGAAAATTTCAAAGACGGTCACGAAAAACGGATAAACGCATAAAAGGGTAAAAACGGTTAAAACCGCTTTGGGAACACCAGTAGAAAAAAAACTAAAAACGACTCAGATACAACTTTTGTGAACCGCTAAAGTATTAGACACTTTGTATAGTAAGCACTACAAGATTTAGGAAAGAGAAGTCCTCTTTGGTTATACGCGGGAAAGATCGTTTGATAAGGTTTACAATAGGAAAAGCGGTTTTACTGGATTTGGTCATGGGAGAAAAGGAGAGGTTGCCATTCAGCTGGAAACCAAGAATTTTGTGTTGATCCGCCAGTTGGATACGGGTTGAATCGTTTACCCAGAAAGGTTGACCAGGAGCGCTACCGAAAGTCATGCTTGCACATTTTTCGTCATTAATTGCTAAGCTCCAGTCGACTGACAAATTTTTCGTGTGGTCAATCGCCGACTGCAATTGGGATGCGTCTGTGCCCCATATGGCGACATCATCCGCGTACACGGCAATCTCTATAGGGAGACGTTTAGGAAGATCATCAATATAGATCAGAAATATGACGGGACCTAGCGTAATTCCCGAATAGATCAACGAGCAACGCGTAGCCGAAATTGAATCCAAAAGCGTCAACAAAACGAACGATTTGGCAAATTTCTACGGTACTGCATTAATAAGCGATCAAATAAGCAAATAAAAACTGTACAAACCTCAAAGTGATCTCGAAACAACTTGAAAACAAGAGCCAAGTGTTACTGTGAGCGTAATTCAACAAATCTGAATNGGTAGGATTGATGTGTAAATATACAAGGGGAGTAGAACGTCAAATGTCTATATGTATCTGAGGCGGATGGTGTTTGGTGAATGGAGCGTAAAATTCACGAAATGTGGAACCGAGATGGGATGACTGGGCTTTACAGGAAGGATTTTCACAAATCGATCAATACACCGCCCGGAAAAATCCTTCCCCGCGTCATACGGTCGAAGGGGAATTCAAGGGAGTACCAATTCTTACACTAACTGCCTATTCTCTACAGCCTTTGTGCCTTTATTTTGAGCCTATCGTCTTTCTATCTGTCTCCGTCAGCTCAGGAGGTTAACCACAAACCGTTCTCCATGACTCACAGTACCTCCTTCGCCGACCCGGAGGATTCCCCAGCTGCTCGAGTTCCCGGTTGCTTCTGCCTCGTCTCCCTCCAGGTAGCAGATCCGGCGGATATCTCGCAGGGTTTCGTCGGCTGCCGTTCTCACTTTAACCGTGCGTACGAGCTCATTCTCGTCCGGGATGCATTCTCTGATTATCGCCAGGGCCCACTCATCCCACCGCAGTCGTTCATCTGCAAGCAGTACTATGCCACCAACTCGGGAATTTCTTTCTCTGTATAACCATTTCTGGCGTGCCTATAGGGTAGGCAAGTACTCTCGAACCCACCGCTTCCAGAGAACTCCCGCTAGGTAAGTCGCCTGCCTCCAGCTGCTCGAGTAATACTTCCTTAGAATTCGTGGTACCGCCAGTCCGTTATTCGGTCTCAAAAGCATCAAATCGTTCGCCGTAAGTGCAAGACCCAGGGGGAGGGGGCAGGAACCGTACTCTCGTCCTTTGGCGCGACGGTCAGGAACGTCGGGCCATGGGGGCCAAATGGATAGTTTGTCCAATGATTTCAAGCCTCGAGAGCAGTGGTCGGCTGGGTTATCCGCCAATTTCACGTATCGCCACTGGTGCACTTTGGGCTCTTCGTGCACTACCGCGAGACGATTGGAAACAAATGTACTGAACCTAGTACTGACGTTGCTCACATAGTGTATCACGATGACAGAGTCGGTCCAGAAAGTGACACGATCCTCGAATATACGGAAGCATTGTCGCAACTGCTTAGCTATACGCACCGCTAGCACGGCCGCAGTTAGTTCGAGGTGAGGTATCAAAACGCATTTTAGTGGGGCGACCCGGGCTTTGGCAAAAATCAAATTCGTCTTGCGTTCGCCATTCACGTGTTGCCAACATACGTAGGCTACTGCTCCGTATCCCGTTTCAGACGCGTCGGAGAATAGATGCAATTCGCCCTTCGTCGCTTGCCTGTTTCGGCTGAGTCGATGCCGTATCCGTATCTAATCTAGCCTACTGAGACTAGTCGACCATTGCTCCCAACCCGTCCGGTCCTGTTTGTCTGAAGGTTGATCCCGCTCGGCCCTTTTTCTACACAATTGCTGAAGGAGGACCTTACGCAGCAGCAGCCACGGCACGACAAAACCAAGCGGGTCGCATAAACTGGATACTGACGACAGCAGCCCTCGTCGGATCGGATTCCGCTCGGGTAGTTTCAATTGGAAGATGAACTCGTCTGACTCCGCGCTCCAACGCACTCCCAAGATCTGCTCGATAGGAAGTGGCTGTGTAGTCAGGTTGAGGTCTCCGCTCGCTCGGTCCGTTTCTGGAACGTTATCCAGAACTAAACGTGAATGGGACAACCACTTGGCTGGAGGGAACCCCCTTTTCTCCAGTAGACACTTGAGCTGCATCACGTGTTGAGAGGCTTCGCTTGAGTTTTCGAAGGCGCCCAGGAAGTCGTCGACATAGAAAGTATTCGCGACGCTAGCTGACACCGATGCTGGGAAATTGTGTCCGTGTTGCGAAGCTGTCCGCCGGAGTGCGTAATTCGCGCAGAAGGGAGAAGAAACCGCTCCGAATGCATGAACGGTTAGCCTATAGTCTACCACTGGATTCTGCAAGTTACCATCAGGCCACCATAGNCCGCTCCGAATGGATAAACGGTCAGCCTATAGTCTACCACTGGATCCTGCAAGTTACTATCAGGCCACCATTGTAATTCCAGGGCGTTGCGTTGTTCCTCTGGTATCTTAATCTGGAGGAACATTTCTTGTATGTCCGTTGCCACTGCCAATGCTACTAACCGAAACCGTCTGAGTACGTCATTCAAGGGGGTTGTCCAGTCTGGGCCCTGCAACAGACAATCGTTTAAGGAGACACCACCGTATCGCGCCACGCAGTCGAATACTACTCGTATCTTCCAAGGCTTTGGGGGGGTTGTTACTGAGTGGTGCGGCAAGAACCTGTCAGCAAGGTTCGATTCCAAAATAATCTGGTCGAAAACTTCATTTGTTTGGTGATAATAGCCAAAAAGAAAGAGGCACAGCCGGGCGAGTCTCCCGCCCGCAAATGATCGACCGCTGTATTCAGCCGGACGGCCCAACTTTCCTGATTGGTCAGACAGCGTAATCAGGCGGGCGGTCCGATGACTCTGATTGGTCAATTTATGCCGAACGTTTGGAACTCACCGAACGCGATAAAAAGAACGAATGTTAACGCCAAAACGACAAACAAAAGAAGACACTTTTCTAATATACTGTCCTGTGCCATTTTGATTGTGTTCTCTTTTTCGGCTCAGAAGTTGGTGGTGCGATAGCAGTCTCAGCAACAGTCTCTACACAGATTTGGCGACGGAAACCTACGCAAAATATCTATAACCGCTGAAGAATTAAAGGCAATCCTGCATCAACGGCAAACTCAGTTTGAAGCGGCTCAGTTGCGTCTGGTAGAAACATTGACGCTGAAACTTGGAGTCCAGTCATCAAGCCAAGTTCCAGATTCAAACCCAGTCAACGCAATTGTCAACACCATCACGGAGTTCCATTATGAACCTGATGCTGACATTTTTTTCGAGTAGTGGTTCAAACGATACGAAGATATTTTCAAATTCGAACTGAAGAACAAAGATGATGCATGGAAAGTGCGGCTTTTGCTGAAGAAACTTGGTACTACTGAACATACACGCTACACTAATTTCATCTTGCCGAAAAATGCCCGCAATTTCCCCTTCAATCAAACTGTCCAGCAATTGACTGAAATTTTCGGTGAGCGTTCGTCTTTGTTTAATATTCGCTACCATTGCATGAAACTCGTTAAACAAGAAGACGAGAATTTTATCACTTATGCCGGCAGAGTAAATCTTGAATGAGAACAATTCAAGTTATCTACCGTGACAGAAGATCAATTCAAATGCCTAATTTTCATCTGTGGTCTGCAGTCCCATTCCNATGGAGCCTCAATATTAAACAAGATTGAACGGTCTTCCGATATAACGTTGCAGGAGGTTGCTCGCGAGTGCCAACGTCTTCTCAATCTCAAACACGACACAAACATGTTGGAGCATCCATTATCCAACAATGCTTTTAATTTGGCACAAATATCTTCCAAACGATCTGACACAGTAACTGGTCCTGCCGGGACAAAGCCTCCATCAACTTACTGGCAATGTGGTGAGTGGCACTTGTGAAATTCTGTCCTTACAAAAAACACAAATGTGCACTGTGTACTCGTTGTGGTCATAAAGAGACACAATGCCGAACCAAAAGGCACAACAGACCTGTCAGTCGCTACAACAGATCAAGCAGCTGATCACGAAAATCTCAACCCAAATGCAACGCTGTTATTGCCGCAATCAAACCAAACTTCCAGCTCCACCGGAAGTACGTGACTGCCAAAACAAATGGAAAAACATTTCGTTTGCAACTCGATACGGCCTCCGATATCACACTGGGGTCTAAACGTACTTGGAAGAAAATTGGCTGCCCAAGGTACACACCAACAACCAACACGGCCGGAA